GCACTAAGAACAAGAAGAGAGAGAGAGCCTTCCAGAATTGTAAACAATGATGTATCATTCTCCCAACTACTTAGAGGTAAGACTTTAACCGATAAATGTCAAGCCCTGCCACAACAACAACCTCAAACCCAACCTCAAAATCCTCTTCATCCTAATATACCTAACCACCAACAACAAATTCCTCATATTCCTCCTCCTTCAAATGCAACAGATCTCACAAGTTTGTTAGCATCTTTCCTCACCGATTTCAAATCCCTTGTTACTCCACTCATATCACTCCTCACGAATCTCGTATCTCACCTCATCCCTCCTTTGAAAAATCCTTAAATGACTCACATCCCTAAACCCATATCCATTCTCCTTTGGAATGCGAATGGTGTTAGAAATCATACAGACGAACTATCTACTTTACTACTTGACAAGAACATTGATGTGGCACTAATTACTGAAACTCGACTAACCACTAAACAGCACTTCAATATACCACAATACCTGACATATCGTACTGACCACCCTGACGGAAAAGCACATGCCGGTACTGCTGTAACATGATTTCCTACAGTCCACCGCTATTGTGATAAAAACCTTCTCCTTTCCGGTCACTCTTGCATCAGCGTATTGCCCTCCTAACCGATCCATATCCAATGCCCAATTCAGTTCTCTCCTCGACTCCTTAGGACATCACTTCATCTTGGGTGCAGACCTAAATGCCAAGCACCAACAATGGGGTTCCAGAACCACGAATTCTCGTGGCCGAACCCTGCTGTCTGCACTCAATTCCCAACGTTTTCACCTCCTTTCCCCCAACTCTCCTACCTACTGGCCCACAGATCCCAACCGTAATCCTGATCTTCTTGATTTCTTTATCCACAGCGGCTTAAGTCCCCTCAATTGTTCCATTACACGTCTAAATGAACTTTCCTCTGACCATAGTCCTCTAATCCTTAATGTTTCACTTGAACCTGTTCCCAAACCTTCTCCACCGTCATTCATTAGGGGCCCAGTAAACTGGGACCTTTTCCGCCAAATAATCTCCGATAATATTGATCTCAACATATCCCTCAAAACTCCCGATGACCTTGATAGTGCCGTAAATTCCTTTACTACCATAATCCAACAAGCCGCCTGGACTGCCTCCTTCCCAAAAGACTCCTCCAGAATTCCTATAAAGACCATTCCACCCCAACACATCCTTAACCTAATCCGCACCAAACGCCGTGCCAGATTATTATGGCAACGTACCCGACATCCTACCGACCGCTGCTCCTATAATTACTACTGCAAACAATTAAAACTGGAATTAGCCACCTTCAGATCACAATCCTTCAACTCCTACCTATCCTCCCTCTCTTCTCGCGACAATTCCCTTTGGAAAACCACAACAAAAATCCTAAATCCTCACCGCATTTCCCATCCTCTCCGACGAGGTGATGGCTCCTGGGCAGCATCTGACGAAGATAAAGCTGAGGAGTTCGCCATTCACCTATCCAATACATTTATTTCACATCCGGAATCCCATCCTGCCCACACCGTAACAGTAGAAGAACTCCTTACATCACCAATCCCACTTTCCTTGCCCCCAAAAGCTATTCATCCTTCCGAAGTAAAATTTCAATTAAAAAAACTAATCCTCCGTAAAGCTCCTGGACATGATCTCCTTACACCTCAAATCCTTCGACAACTTCCATCCAAAGCAGTCATATTCCTTACATATATCTACAATTGTATCCTACGCACCACCCACTTCCCTCTGTTATGGAAACACTCCACTATTATCCTTTTCCCAAAACCAGGAAAACCTCTCAATAGCTCAACATCCTATAGACCAATCAGCCTACTCCCAATCCTTTCAAAAATTTTTGAAAAGATCCTTTTGAAACGAATCCTACCCATTATAGAATCCCAAAATATCCCTTCCCATCAGTTTGGTTTTCGCTCTCAACATTCTACTGTTCAACAAGGACTCCGAGTTGTTGATCATATTTCCTCAGCCCTAGAAAACAAGGAATACTGTTCGGGTGCCTTTCTGGACATTGCACAGGCATTTGACCGGGTATGGCATTCCGGACTGCTTTCCAAGCTTAAAATCCATTTACCTCAGTCCTTGTACCTAGTCCTCCGATCCTACCTCTCTGACCGCTCCTTTCGAGTTCGCTGTGGAACAGAATTTTCCAATATCTACTCCGTTAAAGCCGGTGTTCCCCAAGGCAGCGTCTTGGGTCCCGTGCTTTACATCCTCTTTACTGCTGACATCCCTGTTCATCCCGATACTTTTCTTGCAACATTCGCTGACGACACCGCAATCTTATCATCCAACTCTGATCCCGAAATAGCATCCTTAAATCTCCAAAGTCACCTCACCTTGATTGAGCACTGGTGTAATAACTGGCGCATTAAAGTTAATGAATCTAAATGCCAACATATTACCTTTACACTCCGACGCAATTCCTGTCCACCAGTACTCTTTAATTCCATCCAGCTTCCTTATTCAGACACAGTCCGGTATCTTGGCTTTCATTTAGACCGAAGACTAACTTGGAACCCGCATACTAGACTCAAAAGACAAGAACTCAACCGACGATACGGCCAACTATACCGACTACTAAGCAGAAAATCTAAACTTTCCATTGAAAACAAGCTACTGATCTACAAGACAATACTGAAACCTATTTGGACTTACGGACTAGAACTGTGGAGATCAGCAAAATTTTCTAACATCAAGCGCATCCAATCCTTCCAGTCTAAAGTCCTTCGAACAATAGTCGATGCTCCTTTCTATGTATCCAACAAAACCCTACATCATGACCTTAACATCCCATTTGTCCTAGACCTTATCCCAGAAAAATTCTCCAAATTTCACCAGAACCTTACTTACCACCCAAATCCTCTTGCACAATCCCTATCAAGCATCTCCCATCCCTATAATCCTCCAAGAAGGTTGAAACGGCAGTGGCCTCGCGACCTTTTGTAGATTATATAAATTGGAGTTCTGGCAATGGCCTGATTCTTCACTCAAGACATGTGTGTATGTGGCTAAAGTGCTCTCGACCAATCTCCGCTGGCTTGAGTACCAGTGACGTGGTCGGGAGAGTAGCGCAGGGTTCTCCTGGAGTTCCCTCGCCTGATTGTATATAGGTATGCATTTGTTTTTTTTTGTTTTTTTCCTTAGTTTTAATTTTCTTATTTTTTAGGTTATTTTATTTTATTGTCTATTGTATATACTTTTGATTATTATTTTGTTCTATTTATTTTATTTTTTTGTACATATGGTGTGAATGTCATCCTACCTCACTATAACCAATGTCCAACAGACAGATTGTTATAATACTCAATAAAGAAATTTAAAAAAAAAAAAATTATTTTAAAACAATATAAATTATATTTTCAAATATGAATTTCAGTAATATTTAATGTATGTGTATTCAATGTTTATTAATTACAATAAAATTAATTCTAAATTCAAAGATATTGAAGAAAAAAATTAGTACTCTGAGAAAATCAGTGGAAAACCGTTTAATAATGAGTCTTATATTGTACTAAATCAAAAGTTATCAAAACAGTATAAAGTATCTTTCAAAGTGTGTATATGAATACATACAGCGTTTTGTAAGAGCCTGTTTTGAAAAACTTTAAGTCAGGCATGTCAAGCAATTACGAGGATGACTTTCAGTCCGAGAGCACGCGTCATCGCCCCGAGCTCAACACGAATCGAGGCGACTGGAGGCAGTTATACAACCGATTGGAAAGCCATAGTGATGAGCTATCTTCTGCCTCAATGCATTTATGAAAGAGTCCTTTACAAACCCGTAATCCTAGGAATAACCATCCCAGATGTAACTTCCGGGAATGGGATTACAGGACTGCTGCTGGGCAGTCTTCAAAGTTTCGTAGTGCATGTTCAAGAAGTAATTCGTAAAATATAAAAATTATATTCATTAGAGAGTAAAACTAATAAATAAAATAAAAGAAAAAATATAACTATTTTTGGAAGATCCAAAATAAAAGAGCAACACGCTTTCAACCACCTAAAATCCTTATACCTGACTTTGATTTCAGCCAAGCCCCCAGTTAACTTGGTTTATTAACTAAGTTAATTGTATATATTTAATTTTTTATAAATTCTTACTAATTGCTTCGAATTTAGAAGAGAAGATAACAGCAACATCCTAAGGAGCAGCAGTGATGATTGTAGTAAAAGCTGGACATGTTATAAATTTTTCATTATAATCCTTGTTTATAGTTTTATTTATTTATTACTGATTTAGTAATATATTATTTAGATTAATAAATAGTTAATAATAATAATAAATAATTTTTTTGCAAATTTTTTTCAGCATATTTCTAATTTTTGTTTGGGTTTCGGAATAATGTAGTAAATTAATCTTTTACTTGTATTTAACGGCATTTGCTAAATCAAACGATTTTTTTTTTCAGCAAAGTTAACTTAGTTCAGTCAATTGCATATATTTATTTTTTTTTATAATTTATTTTTAGTTAACCTTATTTCTACTTTGCTAAAAAAAAACTATTAACTAATAAATCAAGTTACAAAAAATACCTATGTACAATGTGTCCTTATGATTAGTTTTTGTAGTTTGATTTATTATATATTATTATGTATATATATTTATTATATAGGATGTAAAATATCTTGTGAAATTAGGGTACAAAAACATTCCTGAAATTAAATATCCTTTTTCTAATTAAATAATCACAATTTTGAACAAAAAAAAAAGTAATTCCTTTGCATTTATTAACTGAAGTTCCGCTAAATTTCTCATACAACTCCTGTGCGACGACTCCAATTGCTCTTATAGCATAAGTTCAACCTATCTTCACTAAGATTCAGAGAATAAAACTTGAGGAAACTTGCTAATCCATATTTATACCAATTTTTCTAGTGATTCAACAGACTACTTTTTGAACATGATGCCCAGTTATTTTATCTTTAATTGCAGAATTTCTCTCACAGAACAGATTTTGTAATCTTTGTGACATACCTTGACATCGTTCCATTCAGCGTCCTGCGTGTGATAGGTGTTAACCCTCAGCTGCGTGCCGGCTAAGCTCACCCCGGTCATCTCGTCCTGGAGGGTGTCCAATTTGAAGGAGCCTGGGATGACGTGGTGTAGCAGCAGCTGCAAATAATCATAAATCAGTTAAACATTTGTTTAATATCGAATAATTTACAATTTGAATTAATTCTTGGCTTCTACTATCGTTAATTTCAGCCAGAGAACAAAAAATACAACTTCAATAAAGACTTTATTTAATATAAAGTGGGGAGAATCATGCAAAAATTACATTTTAATTCTTCCCTTGCCTTTCTTATTTTTAATAAATATTCGTATGACTTATTTTTATAAATTTTATTACGAAGGGTATATCTTTGTCACATAATATAATTTCTGTATTTTATTAGATATGAACATACACATCACAATTTCCTTGTCATACAATGGGCATTACTTATTCAAGGAATCGTTGGTCGGTGGGAGGTAGGAGCACTTTTATGGTGCAAAATAGACTGCAATAGACTTACCATAAGGGCTAAGTCTAACAATGCCAGAATACTCCAAGATCAATTTTCGGGGTTTAATTAATTTAAAAAAAAAAACCTTTTATTATTGGGATATAATTTAATCTGCTCGTTAGTTCTGGACATTTTTTTCCGGTTTACTGTTATTTCCAACTCCATTATAGTGTGTGTCGAGAAATTAACATTTGGTCGTATTCCCATCACAGTTTAAAAAGATTCTTAACATGTTTTATTTTCAGCCTAGGCAAGCTCCTTGGAAACATGTCCGCGGTCGAAATGGAAGCAAGTTAAAAACTAGATCACTTGAGTGGGTTTGTAGTTTGTAAAAAGAACGATAGTTTTTCTGTTTCGAGTAAAAAAAACAACAGTAAACGGGACCATAAGATCATTGTGGATAGTTCAGTTTGCTAACAATTATACAAAAGATACTAGACTGTTAAGAATTGAATATCGATTCTATTCAATGATTTAGGAGAGCCTCAAAGGAACTCCATAAGCTCAAATAGGCATTATATTAATGTGAATGCAGCTAACTAATTTTTAACCATCAACTACTGGCCTTCGTTTTGAACTAAAGGCCGAAATGTCTCACTAAAATACTATTGGGTTGACTAATAAGTCTTTTCGGTTTTCAGGGTGAAATAAAACAATGTATTATAGATATAAAATTTGTTTTAATCTACAATATATTGACCATTATTTAATATGACTTTTTCCCATCTTTCCACTAACTGCATAATGCCGTGTTCATAGAATCACTGAAGTTTATTGTTAAAAAACTGATCCAAGTGGTTTTTGATGTACTCCTCCTTTTGGAATTTCTTTCTAATCATGGAGTCCTGCAGAGACCGGAATAAGCGGTAGTCACTTGAAGCTAGGTCTGGTGAATAAGGATGGTGCCAATAAAAAAGTGCCATTCAAGGCTCAATAATTTATAGCGAGTGACCAATGAAGTATGGGGCCTAGCATTGTCATAGGGGGACACAACACCCTTCCGATCATTTATAACTCTTCAGGATGTTCACCAAATTCGATGTTACTATATCCGTTGGAAAGCTGAATTATTGCTCTTCAAAGCCGTATGAATGTTTTTTTTTTATTTAACGCCTTAATAAGGAATAAATAAACAAAAGGTCCTTATAGGTTTTTAAATTTTAAATCCATTTGTATGTTTTTACGGAGGTACTGTTGATGTCATTTATGTGTAGTTTATGTGGCTCTAAATTCCTACTTAATTTCTTGTAGATAGCTAAAGTCATATTGAAGTTATAATGTTTGAAAAAAATCATGTGAGGGACTTAAACATTAAGCCTGGAAACATACCCGAGGTTGTGCAAATGGTTTTCTACGCATGTGTGCGACACGTTTAGGGCCATAGAAATATCACGCACTGATTGGATAGGATTTTGATCAACAATGGCCTTAATTCAATTTCATGTGGGCTACCAAACCGTTAAACATTGTTGATGCGAAAATTTTCTGAATGAAATTTGACAAACCAATTTTGACATATGCGTTCGGTTAACGCATTATCCCCATAAACATTCCGAAATTTTTTATGAGCTTCTGCAGCACGCTTATCTTTTTTAAAATAATACAACAAAATATGAAAGATATTTTCTTCCATACCCACAGTGAATAGCAAACACAATACTAAGCTAGTTTCAAAAACAGTTAACTTATATATTACAGTTGACATATTACAAACAGAATAAACAATCCACCTTAGGGATTAATTTATCAGATAAGAAGTGTATCATAGTGACATAAAAATAAACAGAAAAACCGAAAGGACTTATTTGCCAACCCATAAAAAGTTCAATATTTTGAAATTCTATTGAAAAAGATAAAAACATAAATTATAAGATGCATTCAAGACAATATTACTTACCCCACTTAGAAGTCTTGGATTTTCCTTGAATTTAATTTCTGCTCTGTCGGGACCACCCAACTGAACAAGCAAGGTTCTAAACGCTCGGTCCGTTGGAACGAAGAGTGTGTAAGGACCTGAAAAATATTTAAAGATTGTATTAATTGTTACATTAAAACATTTTTGATATTGTGAACTATTCTACTTATACTCGATAGAGATTAATTTCTAAAGATTATGATGTAGTCTAAATAAAAGAGAAATATTCAAATATTAAAAAAGATTAGTTTTAATAATTTATTATGTTTGAATAACTAGCCATGAATGTGTCATAAGTATTAGAAGAAGGTTAGGTATGAATAATGCAATACTACCAGGCATTTCTAACGTTCCGATAATGGATCCATTGATACTGCTCCGAAAATTAAAACTTTTAGATAGAGATTAAATTAAAGAATTTTTTTTTTGGGGGGGAGGGAAACTAAATCTTTATTGTTGTAATTGAAAAATCATTTTTTATTTGTGTCAATAACTCTTTTTATTTGACAAAAGATTCAAAATTATTTTATAACAAATATTGTAAAATAAAATAAAGCTCATATTTTAGAATAATGTTTTTCATATCAAATAAACCACAAAAGAGTTGTTTTATTGTACGCTGCGTAAACAAAATATGTAAATAAATTGTTTATTTAACTCCTTTTGAATTTATAAAATATGCTCTATATAAATGGTCACCAAATTAAATTTATTTAGAAATTAAATTATTATATTTTAACTAAAATTTTGATATCTTCATCCTAGGTGATTGTTTCAAAGTATGTTAAAAATTTATTTCTACTCATCGCACTGTTTAGTTATTTGCCCTTTATCAAACCTTAATGCTTTCTTCAGTTCGATATTGTACCGTCACAATATTTTAATTTACAAGTTGAGCTTGTGAATGATCTAAAAATCGATCACGTCAAAGAAGCATTTTAAGAAATCCATTCGAATATGATTCAGAACCTTAAGCATGTTCTGGAAAATTTCTATAATCTGATAGCTAAAACAAATTATTAGTTTTTTCTTAAATAAAATAAGTTTTTCTTGGATCAAGCTCTATAAGAAGGAACCTCACACCGCTCAGGGGTAACAAAGAGGACTGAATTAAGTAAAAGTAAGTAAGTAAAGTAAAATAAGTTTTATTATTAAAATACTTCGTCGTAAACCTATGTCTTCTTGTCCTACAGTATCCTTTAATAATACCCCACTTATTCCTGTTGAACAAATTCGATACCTTGGACTCCACTTAGACAAACGTCTAACTTGGAATCCTCATACCAGACTGAAACGACAAGAAACAGCTCGACGTTTCCGACTACTCCAGCACTTACTAGATAAACGCTCTAACCTCCCAGTCAATTACAAAAGACTCATATACATGACTACAATAAGACCTATTTGGACTTACGGAGTTGAGCTCTGGGGCTCCACTAAGCCATCGAATTCCTCTCGTATTCAATCCTTACAATCCAAAATCCTTCGTAAAATCCTCACTGCTCCTTACTTTGTCACAAACAAAATCATCCATAACGACCTTAATGTTCCTTATGTTTCTGACTTGGCCCAATCCAGATACCTATCCTTCCATAACAAACTTCAGAACCATCCAAACCCTCTTGTTTCTAACCTTGCTTCCTCTTCGATCCCTGACAACCCTCAGAGGCGTCTGAAAAGAAGATGGCCTCGAGATCTCCTTTTGTAAATACATTTTTAGAGTGCTACCAATGGGTAGTTTCTCAACATGTGATGTCATGCTATTTTATTCCTTTGTTCACATTTACTGAATGTATTTTTACTTGTAATACAGTTGTAAATATCACCAATAAAAAAAAAAAAAAAAAAAAAAAAATTATTAAAATATCGATTATTCGAATATTATTTTGTCTGACTTCCTTTTTTGAAATTAATTTAATAGATACACGTACATAAAACACAAATAAATTATCAATGACTAAGTTTCGTTTCGATATTTTCATGCTGAATAAGTTGGTATTTGAAGCAAATAGTTTGAAGCAAAATATAGTTTTATTTTCTATAAACAAAAAAGAACAAAAATTAAAGATGTCATTTAAAGACGTTTGACTTTTATTTCAAGTAAATATAAGTCGTAAATTAAGAATCAGTTTTTATCAAAATACATAAATGTTACCAGTTAATTTTAAATGAAAATTGTGAATACCATTAGTGATTTTTAATAGAAAATAACTGTATTTTGACTTGACAAAAAAAAAATTCTTAAATTATACTCTTTTTTCTAGATAATAAACCTTCAGACTGCTTTAGAAGAAATTATCAGATATGTCTTTAAAGCCATAAATTAAAAAAAAAAAATACATCGTTGAAGCAAAATAACTTTCTGATTCAGTTTTTGACCATGATCTGAAAACAATTATAAAAAAAAAAGTATAAAATATGCCTGTGAATTTATTTAATCTAACGTCTTCAGAAAAGAAAAAGTTCTTACATACAGCTTTAGAAAAAAACATTTTGTATTCAATTTATTTATATTTCTTTTATTTTTAAATCATGAAGCAACATGTTTTTTTAAAGATTGAATTCCGCAGTGAGCTAGCTCGTAAAAAGATCAAGGCAAACAAGAGTCGCATCAAATCCACGTTCAAAAAGAATTGCGGCGCAGATTATTTGAGCTTGTTAAATATTATTGTAAGGGATCGTTGTTAAATTAATTTAATTATTAAATTAAATAATTCCATAATATATTTTATTTTATAGTTTAAAGTGAAATTAACGAAGCCCCTAGAACTATCTGTTCACCAATTCATCATAAACTTTTATTATAAAAAAAGATGTAATTTTGAAAGTGAAAATAATGTGAATCCATCTATTTTTTATTTCAATTGATCGCGTCTATTTTGGTAATGAACTTTAGTACAATTATAAATTGGTAAATTTTATTATAACTGAAGGACACTAACAACATTATATTATTTTGTGTCATTAGACTTTTATTTCACTTTTTTGATCATATTAATAAATTAATAAAAAAAGTAAAATTATAAATTACTACTTGTTTGCCTGTTACATTTCAAATATTTTTAAAATGTTACTTTTATAAATTTTAAATTTCAGTAAGTTTTAACAAGTGTACAACAACGAATAGTCCGTGGTACAGACCCCTTTTTATCGAATTATTAGCATCCACGAGAAACTTCGTAAATGATTTCTTCTCATCGTAACCAACAACGATTTTATTTACGAAAACTGTTGGAATTGGGGCGTTATCAATCTGGAGAGGGGCAAACTTTGTCTATTTAATTAGACACTAAAAACTCGTAAATACTCATTTGCGTTCTGCTTAGATTGTAAGATGATTTGATCACAAATTGAGAAAAAAGGTGGCCTTCAAACATATTGAGCCGTTTGGAGTAACCTACACCCCTAACGACGAGGCTATATAGGAAAAACGGCCCAAAATCTTTGTAGGCAACCTTTTTTATCGATTTTGTGATCAACTTATCGTACGATTCAAGTAGAAGGCAAATGAGTATTTATGAGCTTTTAATTACTAATTACTAATAGACAAAGTTTGCCCCTTTTCAGATTGATAACGCCCCAATTCCAAGAGTTTTTGTAAATAAAATAGTTGTAAATTAAGTTTCAGACGGATGTTAATAATTCGATAAAAAGGGGCCGGACTAGATATTGACCCCACCAACTTCCACTATGAATTAAAACTTCTCTGGACTCATAAAATACTGCAGAAAACATCTTATAAATCAAAACCATGTCAAAGTATCGAAAATATGGTCACCGATCGAAGTGAGAATAAGGAAGGTTGGTAACGAAAAAAAAAATCTTGAAGTTATTTCTGATATTATATGGACAATTGAGAAAAGTTGACCTTTCAAAGTCAACAGAAACTTTATTGACTTTGAAGCCTTGAGCAACTTGTCTACTTGAGAGTTTGCCACTCACGAGTTCCCCTCGAGAGCCCTGTACTCGATTGTGGATATTGCTCTGTGAATCGGTCAAAAACAGGTGGCTCGCTCTCGGAAACTTACCTTTCAGATTTCTTGCATTATAAGTGTAAGTATGGAACTTTAAGTAGGTGGACACAAAGCATTAGATACAATTCTGTCATAAAAGATAAAATTAAAAGGATTATATCTCGATTTGAAAATTTTGAATTTCGCTTGAATTTTATTTTTATGTTAAAAACAAAAGAGAATTTCTCATCAAACCTTAAGAAAACCAGACATTTTTAACAAAATATGTAGGTTTTTTTTTTAAATATATTTTTCATACTCTATTTAAACATTTTTAACTGAAACAAGTGTGTTTTGAAAATAAGTTACGAATAGTTTGGGTTAACTAGACGACAAAATGCCAAAATTAAAAGGATTATATCTCGATTTCGAATTTTGGCATTTAGTCGTCTAGTTAATCCAAACTATTCGTAACTTATTTTCAAAACACACAAAATGTTTAAATAGAGTATGAAAAATATATTTAAAAAAAAAAACCTACATATTTTGTTAAAAATGTCTGGTTTTCTTAAGGTTTGATGAGAAATTCTCTTTTGTTTTTACCATAAAAATAAAATTGAAGCGAAATTCAAAATTTTCAATCAAAACTCATTTTATAAAACTATTGTAGTTTATTTTTGATAAATAGGACAAACAATCCCATTAATATATTAAGAGATTTACGTAACTTCAGTTGTATTTTATCAGTATAAAGATAACTAATTTGTATCTAGTTGCTGGTATTGTAGTTGTATTATGTATTAGATTTAACTATGATTTGTTTACTTTCACTTATCTATATATGTAATACATAGTAAGGGAAAGTATTGCAATTATAAAAATTTTCGAATATGAGTTTTCAACGGAAATACACGTTTTGAGATTTTTCAAGTCCAAATCACCAAATCCCGCAAAATAGTGTGTGTGTGTGTATGTATGTGAATAGTCCAGCACAAAAACGAAAAGTCGTACGAAACTATTATTACGTATTTAAGATAGATATATTATACCTATCTCTCTCTGAGATGTTACAGTAACTTTTTCGTTAAAATCGGCTGACCGGAAGTGCTATCTTTAATAATCGATTGTACACATTTTTTTTTTTCCTACCTAGGAAAGTACTGCAATCGGGCCAAGTTTCCGATATGCGGTTTTGACGGATCTATACGTTTCAGAGTCCTGAGTCCGAAAAACACATTTTTAGCCATTGATCTGTCTGTCTGTGCTCTCTCTCGGCAACTTCTGAACTAATTTTGGTGCTTTTTTTTTTTATTTTGTAGGGTTTTGACTATTGATGCCTGTGACAGAAATTTGGTGCTCCATGCGCAATAAATGAAAAACTTGTTTTTCTATAGACGGTAGCGGAAAAACGGTTCCAACGATTTGAACTTTCCTATACTGTTCTAATAATGAATGCTATTCGTATACCTGTTTTTAAAGGTAATGAAATTCCCTACAAAACTGTATAAAAATCTGTTGCCCGCATCACACAAGCTTCACTATTTCATCTACTTTTAACAGAAATTATTGTTTGCCTATACTAAGCTATGTCAAAAAGTATTTGATCAGCAATATTAGAGAGTATTACACTGATCTCACAGCAATATTAGAGAGTATTACACTGATGTAAGCCGGCTTACATTGCTTTAGCTTATCAATTATTAAATAAATCGTACTCGATTCTTTTCTTTGAGCAATTTTCATGAAAATAAATCTAGTTCAATTTTTTTTTTGTTTCTTCATGAACATATATAAAGATGTAAAAACTTTTCTGAAATAGGTAGTAAAGTCGTGTGAGTGGTTGGACACACCAGATTTTTTTATATGCATTCTATATATTTTAAAAACGTATGTTGCATTTTTCTCGGAAATTATGTCCTATTATTGATACATGTTAAGAATACATTAATAATAACTGGTTAGCAATATCAACATTAATGAAATGAGGCAGCCTCACCTGTTTCGTTGAGTACAGATTCCAGGCCTGATTGTTTCAGGAACTTAGCCATAGCAAAAAATCCACTCTTCTTCAAGGTTTCAGCTAAGACGGACCCAGAAGGCGAGGCTGTGCTCAGCTGTGGAGGGTTGGGAGTTGCAGTGTCCAGTGTTGTTGAGGAAGGCAGGTTGGTATATGCAGTCGGTAGGGGAGAGTACTGCGCCGGACTAGGAGTCGCCTGGTCAACAGTTGCCTGAGTGTACGTCGTCCTGGACTGAGTGGAAAACAGTGAGGAGCCTGTGGGTACATCATAGATAGCGGGTCCCGTTGGAGGATGGTCGTAAGGGGTCGAGATCGAGAACGAATTCACCGCCTTGGTCTGCACGTTCTGCGAGTAGTTGTGGTCCAAGAAGGACGGTTCTGTCGTACCCCTGTACACCGGCGAAAGCTTCTCTTCTTGTTGAGGAGTGATAGTCGGCAGGAAAGTGGATTTAGTGGGAGATTGGTACTTAGACTTGGTGACAGATGACTCCTTGTCCCCTTGGTAAGGTGAGTTGGTAGAGTAAGCAGTGCTCTGGTAAGATGGAGACCTAGTCGTAAACCTCCTCTTGGTTTGCGAATCGCTCTTTCCACTGTGTTTCACATAGCTGGGAGAAGCGATGGATTCTTCTGGTGTACTGTTGGGTGGTGGATTTTTTCTTCCACCAGATGGTGGTAACTTGATCTCTCCTTTCTGTATTTGCTTTATAATGGATTCTACTTCAGCGCCCTTAGTTTCCGTAGGCCCATTTTCGTTTCCTCTGACGCCTTGAACTTTTACGGACCCGTCTGGTTGCTCTTCCAAGATTACGAAAGTTACTTTCTTCTGAGGCAAATCTTTCAATTTTCCTACTTCTTCGAGAGCACCATCTTGCTTTTGTCTAATGACTTCGAAATCAGCTCCTGGTGGCAAAACACCTTTAGTCAACTCTTCGAAAAGAACTGTAGGCGGTTTTATTGTAGTTTGTGTTGTTGGGGGTTGTTGTAGTACAATAGTTTTTATCTGAGGTCCCTTGGATGGTTTATTCGCTGATTTTGTATTGTCATTCAGATCAGCTGGAAGTGGTAATTGAGGTATTTGATATTGTTCCAACTTATCGCCCAGAGCTAAATTCGGTAAATTGGCGATTTGGTCTGAGCTGAGAGAACCGGGCAAGGTTATTTTTAGTGTTTTAAAAATGTCGTCTTTTTCACCTAATTGTGCTTGGATTTGTCTTTGGAGTTCTTCTTGAATAAGTTCTTCTTCAGATTTCGAGGATTGGGTTGTGGATCTCGCAGCTGTTGGTGCGGGCGAAGTTACTTTCGGGCGTGGTGTCGTTTGTGAACTAACTAGTTGATCGTACAGCTTCTTCCTGTCATGTTTGATAAATAGTTGGCTTGAAGAATCATCTTTATTTATACTTGGTGGAGCAGTAGGTTCTTGTTTCGTAGTAAGCTTCGGTCTATACTTCAGTGCTTTAGTCGGCGCTGTTGTTACTTTATACGATTCAGTCGAAAATGTTATGGCATCATATGGCTTCTGTTTTCTATATGGAGTCGGTGGTTGAGTTTCGATAACCCATGAGGGGGTATCTTCTTTTTGTGGTTCCGCAGTATAACCTGTATTTCTATTAAAATCTATGTTGATGTTATTGTAATCTTTTGGTTTATCAGGAACGACGTAGTTCTCGAATTGTTGCTGGTAACTATCGAAAGATGGTTGTTTGGGTCTGTAAGAGGGTTGTCTATAACTAGATTGCTGAGGTACAGATATGCGAATTGACTGTTGGTCTTGGTTTTGGGCGACTTGCTGTTGGGGAGGTGCTGGTGTATTGCTTTCTTCAGTGGGATATGATGGTTGTAAAAGGATAGGTTTTCTTTCAGTCGGGTAGTGAACGTTGGTTTGATAGCTGGGAGAGATGGAAGGTGGTGGCTGTTGGAAGCTGTAATCCTGGGGCTGCTGGTAGGGCTGGAAATTCTGCTGGTAAACCGGCTGCTGCTGCTGCTGTTGCTGTAGCTGCTGATGTTGCTGTTGATGATGTTGCTGCTGTTGATGCTCCTGCTGCTGACGCTGCTGCTGCTGCTGCGCTTGCTGGACGCCATGAAAGTCATGGGATTGAGGTTGCGGCCTCAGCTGCTGGTAATTCTGTTGCCGTTGGGCCTGATTCACTAAGAACCTGTGCTGCTGTACATCACTGAGTATGTGCGTCTGCTCTTGAGGCGAAAGTGCTCCTCTCGTCAATTCGTCCGGGTAATTACGAAACTGAAACAAAAGAAAATAATTTTTAGTTCAGGAATAGCGATATAAGGATATATATACTTTTTTACCCAGTTATATTGTGCTATATACTTTTCACACATAATTTCTACTACAAAAAGAGAGCTTTTTCTTATAATTTGATTTTTCCGATGCCGAGAAAGTCGGTCTGTTATGAGACACTCGTAAATTGAGCTTAACTTATAAAATATTTTATTCGTGAAATAAATTTAGTTAACATTAAGTAAGATTAGGTAAGTTGGAAAAAAATAGAAGATCTAACTTGAAAAATTGTAAATATCTTATCAAATTGTAAATTAGTACCTAGAATTTCTTAGATTATTTTCGTTATTTTATTTTTCCATCCATTAAATTCATATTCAAGTATTAATAGTATATATTAGTTATTTTCTACCAATTTATTAAGTATTTCTCTAGAATTTAGTATTAGAGCGGCAATAACAAATAAGTGAACTGGCGAAAATATAATTTTATAAAACATATTTATTTCATAAGCATTCTTGATGAATACTCATAAAAATGTTCACTAAAAAAATAGCTTTTTTTTTATGATTTGGTTTTCCAATATGAATACATTCAGTTTATTAATCGTACGAGTTACTCGTAAATTGGGTAAAATTAATCAAACATATTTATTTGATGAATGTAGTTATCGGAGTAATTTTTATTCTGAACAATATTTATTTTAAACTGTTTTCTTTAAAAAATGCTCTTCTTTAGTAAAATTTGGAAGCTATTATAATCATCTTTGCGACTATCGCATGCTGGATCAAGTCGGATCACTGATATCTGATCACAGATTCTGATATCTGTTCGTCTTAATTTTTCATTTCTTATCAGAAAATCAAATAAAATTACTCCATTCAATTTGGTCGCTGAACAGAATTAAAGGTAGTGAAGGAGAAATCCGAATTGGTTAAATAGTGAATTATTTTCTTTTTCATGTATGACAGAAATTCTAACAGAACACGGTACTAAAATTTCAAGTGTCAAACCATACTTCACTAACTCATACAAATAAAAATTTAATGGCTTTTTGTTTAGACCCTGAGATGTGAAGATGCCATATTAAACACGCATCAGAATACCGTAGAGCGTAGCGAATCATCTATTACTTTCACTTTGCTTTTTAAACTATGTTTTCGTTTTTAAAGCTAATTAATTGATGGAGCATCTAAAGATACTAAAACCTTAGTAAAACTATACCGAATCGAAGAGAATTTTTCTTATGACGGCTACAACGACAATCTCGCATCTTTCCCATGTCTAATGAACCAATTCCATCGTTCTCTTTGTAATCTACGCTGCGTGCCTTATGGCCTCTTTATCCCTTCTCATAAAACAGATTTACATGACAAATCTGTGATTAACAATGTTACATCCTTCTTTCACTTTCCTCAGATACTCTATTTCTCACATATTTCGTTATGCTTTCTCTATCCTTTAACATTTCAATTTTGGTTTATTGCATGTCTATTTTGGTTCTATATATAGTTGTAAATAATAATTAGCTTAAGTGATCACCAGTCTCTGCATAATAACATTTAGTTTATTTATGAGCTGGTACTTGCATCAAATGTAAAATCTATTTAAATATTATTACACACGAATCTCTGATATGTCGAATTCGTCGATGCCGACTTTTGGTTTCCGTGGCATTTAATTGAATACCTCCGAACAAATTTACTATCATGGCTATATTGGATTTTCTGGTTCGGGTCATTATTATACACTTAGATTATTTTTATATCGATAAATAAGGACAAAATCCACAAAAATATTTTGTATCTCACTACAAATGGTTGTTTGCCTTACATAAACAAGACGACAATGGTAGTCTGATCAGTTGTGGTGGGCTCAATGATAGAATTCCGTCGAGGAGTTCAGTCGGCCTTGAATTCGCTCGACCAGATAAAGAGCGGACGCTGCTGAGAGGAGGAAAATAATCTAGAGTGGTAAAGTCCTCCAAAGGACATGATGACAATTGCCTTGTAAAAGCGGCGACAAAGCACGGCCTTCCCCAGGTGACAGCTAGAAAGGTGGCTGTTGAGATAAATAGTTTCCCAACTGGTTGGTTAGAGTGCCTTGTGCAACCCCTGCTGTTGGTCATCCCTTCGATTCTTATTATAGTCGATGGCGCCGTTTTACACTTACCATCCACGGTTGTGAAATCACCTAAGGGGGTGTTAGAAAGACTATAAATCCATTCTCATCAATGTTTAGTCATGTACCTTTATGGTGTTCCAGCTGAGTGAATATGATTGATACTATTTATGATCTGTCGACATTTAATCGAATTTAGAAATATATATATATATATATATATATATATATATATATATATATATATATATATATATATAATTCGATAAAGGAATATATCAACAGTTTATTGTAAAAAAAAGTACATTTTTATTACTTAAAAAATTAAACATTACTTAAAAAATAGAATTTTTCAAAGATTTGTGTTGTAGTTGTAATAAGCTTTTAAAATTGGCATACGCCATTTCTCTATGGAAAAACAATTTTGTTTGATACCTCGTTCATAAAATGCATCGCTTCAAATTGCCAGAAAAGGGATCTTCACTACCCTATTATAACCATGTCTCATTTCTTAATTTTATTGAATAAGAAGTAATTGGCCAAAAAACTATACAAAATAATTAAATTCTAAGTACAGTAAAGTAGACAAAATTTTCTTTGAGAAAATAGTGTTTAAACTTACTAAAGTCAATGATGACAGGGACTTTCAGGAGATCTTATACGGCTGGTGCACTGCTGCAGTTACAGTAACCGTACTCGAGCAGCATATCTTGATATAATCCGTGGTACAGATATATTTTTATCAAGTTATTAACATCCACCTAAAACTTCGCAAGTAGCTTCATCTCATCGTAACCGAACTATTTTATTTATGCGAACTCACGGAATTGGGACGTTTTCAATCTGGAGATAAACAAACATTGGATATTTAATAAGATACTAAATACACATAATACTCATTTGATTATTACTTGAATTGTAAGATAATTTGATCACAAAACTGAGAAAAAAGTGGCCTACAAAAATATTGGTCAGTTTGACCTATATAAATTCATTATTTTGGTCACGCCAAACGTACCAATATTTTTGTTGGCCAACTTTTTTCTATGAAGCTATTCGGGAAGTTCTTAGGCGGATGTTGATAATTTGATGAAAAAAGGTCTGTAGGATTATACCGAGATATGCTACTCTTACTTTAACTGCAGCAATATAGCAGCCGTATTAGACCTCCTGAAAGTTATTTTTACCATTGACTTTAATAAATTTAATCACTACTTTCTTCAAGAAATTCTTGTCTTCTTTACGATGGTCTACTTAAAATTTAATTATCTTGAACAATCTTTGAGCAATTCCTGCTTATTCAATAGAAAACGTGGCAACCTTAAGAAAAACATAAAATTGATCTTTTTTTCCGTTCGGAATCGGCCCATGCACCAAATGAAAACTTTCGTTGGAAATTTTATCTAGAAACACTCTCCAGAATTTGACCATTAAGAACACAGACACTATGTATTTACTGTAGACGGGAAAATATTTAGTGCAACGGTAAAAAAAAAATATGTTGAAACTTGTATATGAACTTCGACTAAGAATTTCGAAAGAAAAAAAACGTCTGCCAAGTAAGGTAAGTATAGCTTCCTCACTGTTTTCATTGGCTAAAATATATCTATATTATGAGGTATACAATTTTTCGTATGAGTATAAAATCTCTGGGAGAAGCCGATTCGGAAATACAGTTACCCTTCAACATTCTCGGGTTTGAATTTTGTTTATCCGCTAATATTTTTAAACTAAAGGCATATCAAATAACACATTTCCTGATCAAAAAGCGGAAGAATTTTTTTTTTTTTTTTTTTTGGAGTAGTGGATAGAATAGGATAAAATTGATGCCTATTTCATTTTACGTTTACGAATCCCTGAATTCCTCCAATTCGATTCAAGTCAAATCGAACTTATGGTTTTAGAGAGGTATCATAGAGGTATCATATAAAACACATTTGCGCATATATAAGAGAAAACAATGGACAGAATTCAATAAAATTGACCCTGCATTTTTTTTTCACAAATAGCTACCTTTTTTTCCAACTTTGAGCCAAATCGAACGAGCAGTTTCTGAAATATTGGCATATCTACAAAAATGCGAGCGAAAGCGGAAGTTCTGGTTATAATTTAATAAAATTGATTTGCGACCACCGTCTAGACACCAACCCGCACAATTCCTGAAAATCGAATAAACGGTAGGAGGTGACATGCCCGTTACATCGATTTGACGACAGACAGACTGACACGGAACCAAATTTGATCCTTGATATCTGAAACGTATAACGCGAGTGAAAATTTTCAATTCTGAGCACGAATTTTTTTTAACCACTCGAACGAATACAATGCTTTCCTACCTTCGGTAATGAGGAAGCAAAAATTGTAAAATAGAACATGACATAATAAAAAACTATTAGCAGTAGTACTTCTTACTACGATTAAGAAACAGTTGTCCTGGACGGGATTAGGACATGGTCACATACCGAGCCTCTAAAGAGATCCAATCTCTTCGGCTATCACTGCCCAGACCATCCGGGTACATCATTAGCGGGTGAACGTGTCGAGAGGACGCTGCCTCTGAAGACCTTGAAGGCCTTCGATATGCTTTGCTTCTAATGTAACGCGCTTTAATGGACCCTGTTGTGTAAGCGAACACACATCGCTAGCTATTCTCCACATGTAATTGAGCAGTATTTTATCAGATAAATAGTTATACAAGTTATATGGATTTCCCATAAAACAATTTTAATGTATTCTGTTTCATTCCATTCCTTTCTCTTCTAAATGCAATTTTAACTTATTATATAATACATGAACGGTTTAATAATAGCATACCTCTAAAACAGGTTATTGGAATCTTTCCTTATACGGACCATATAGGTTAGGAATTGGTTATAAATAGA